CTTTCCAGATTTTTCTGAGAGCATCCTCTTCATCATTTCCTATAGGATTGTGATTATTCCATCACAATCATATACCACAACTTGTTCTGCCATTCCTCAGTTGATGAGCATCCCCTCAATTTCCAATTCTTTGCCACCACAAAAAGAGCTGTTACAAATATTTTTGTACAAGGTATTTTTCCTTTTTTAAAAAAATCCCTTTGGGATACAGACCTATGCGTGGTATTGCTGCGTCAAAGGGTATGACAGTTTTATAGCTCTTTGGGCATAGTTCCAAATTACTCTCCAGAATGGAGAGCACCAGCAGTGCATTTAATGTCCCAATTTTTCCACATCCCAACCAGCATTTATCGTTTTCCTTTTCTGTCATATTAGCCAATCTGATAGTTGTGAGGTGGTACCTCAGAGGAGTTTTAATGTGCATTTCCCTAATCAATAGTGATTTAGAGCATTTTTATATGATCATAGATAGCTTTGATTTCTTTGTCTGAAAACTGCCTATCCATATCCTTTGACTAATTTATCAATTGGGGAATGCCTCTTATTTTTATAAATTTGGTTCGGTTCTTTAATTAGTTGAGAAATGAGGCCTTTTTTCAGTGAAACTTGCTGTAAAAATTTCCCCCAGTTTTCTGTTTTCCTTTTAATTTTGTCTGTGTTGGTTTTGTTTCTGTAAAACCTTTTAAATTTAATGTAATTTGGGTGTTATCCCATTTGGTACATATGTATTTAGTATTGATATTACTTCCTTGTCAATGGTATATTTTAGTGAAATGTAGTTTTCCTGCTTATCTCTTTTAATTAGATCTATTTTTGCTTTTACTTTGTCTAAGATTACGATTGCCATTCCTGCTTTTTAAAAATCTCAGCTGAAACCTAATAGATTCTGCTCTATTCTCTTACTTTACTCTTTGTATCTTCCTCTGTTTTAAGTATGTTTCCTGTAAACAATGTATGGTAGGATTCTGTTTTTTAATCCACTCTGCTATCTGCTTCTGTTTTATGAGTGAGTTCATTCCATTCACATTCAGTTATGATTACTAACTGTGTATTTTCCTTCTGTCCTATTTACCCTCATGTTCATCCTACTTTCTTTCTTTTCACCCTGTCCCTTCTCAAATGTGTTTTGCTTCTGACCACCACCTTCACCAATCCAACCCCTTCCCCACTCCATCCCCTTTCCCTCCTACTACCCTGTAGGGTAAGATAGATTTCTATACCCAACTGAGTGTGCATATTATTCCCTTTTTCAGCCAGTTCTGATGAAGGTAAGGTTCAAATGTTGCCCATCCCACTCCCACCCCTCCATCTTTCCCTTCACTGTAAAAGCTTTTTTGTGCCTCTTTTATGTGAGCTAATTTACCTTATTCTTCTTCTCCCTTCCCCCTTCTTTTAGTGCATCCCCTTTTCTCACCCCTTAATTGTATTTTATTATATTATCCTGTCATGCCCTTTGCCTATGTATACTCCTTCTAACTGCCTTAATAAATGATAATGTTCTTAGGAGTTACAAGTATCATCTTCTCATGTAGGCATATAAACATTAAACAAGTAATGATTCAATTCCATTCAACTCCACAAATTCTTATAATGGCATGGGCCATAGAATTTTGCCCAGCCAATGTCACTCTGCAATGAATTTAGTAATAAATCAAAATATATAATATATGATATGTGATATAACCAATAGAATAATATCAGTATAAAATATATTATAGTAAATTAATATAAATATAGAATAAATTAATAAAAACAATATATCTAATTATTTTACATCAATTTAAATGAATATAAATAATATAGCCCAGTAGAATATCACAAAACCCTGCTAACTGAATATCATTGTTTGGACAACGGGCATTCTTCATTCACTTGTTTCCCATATGGCTAATTAGGCTGGATTCTTTTGAGTGAGTATGGGTGGCTCTGCAGTGTTCTGGACCTTTAAGTTCCTTAAATTAGGAATAAGGGAATAAGCATTTATTAAGTGCACACTGTGCCAGTCACTAAGTGCTTTATAGATATTATCTCATTGCTTCTAGTCTTAACATTCTGTGTTTTAAAGTCCCTCCCAGCCATGACATTCTATGTTCTAAGGTCTCTTCTAATTATAACATTCTATGATTTTTATGGATAAATAAGGTTCTTGCCCTTGGAAAGGTTATAATCTGGTTGGAAAAAAGGATGTATACATGAAAAAAGAGAGATACAATGCCCTAAAAATGTTGCGTTTTGATGTTCTAGGTGGTAACTAGAAGAAAAATGCTAGGGACGTTTTCCTTCAGACGAGTGGAACTTGTTGCTGTTTCTTACTGATATGGCCGCCGTGGAAAGTGAAACCTCCAGAAAATCCAGAACTTTTAAGAAGATACAAAAAGGTCTTGTGAACTTGATGAACACTTGCTTTATATGGGGGAGAGAAATCTACAAACACCTAATCCATGCAGTTTGCAGAGTTGAGTTGTTGGAATGTAGTAAGTCGGAAGCTTGGCAGTGCACTGTGGCGGAATGAGCTCTGGGGTGTGGGTCTTAGCACTGCCGCTTAGTGGTGGAATGTGACCAAGTCATTGCCTTCCTCTGCGTGTCACTTTGCTCCCTTTTAAAATGATAAACTTGGACTCAGTGACTTCATAAATTCCTTTCCAGCTTTGACATGCTAAGTTCTGACCTTCCCCTCGGCTCTAACATTATAATGTGCCTTCCAGCTTCACCATTCTATGTTCTAAGATTCCTTTGAGTTCTAACGTTTTTTATTCTAAGGTCCCATTAAGCTCTAATATTTTTCCATATTCTGAGGTTCTTTGATGCTTTAGCATTCTATAGTCTATATATATTCTATATTCTAAACTTTATCTCTTCAAAAAATTCTGAATTAATTTAATTTAATTTTTTAGGCCATATCCAAAAATGTGTCTTATTCTGCAGATTAATCCAATCAGGAGGTGGGTAGAAAGTGCCATCATCAGTCCTCTGGAATCATGATTGCATCATTCAGAGTTCTGAAGTCCTTCAAAATTGTTTTCACAGTGTTGATGTTAGAGTATAAATTGTTTTCCTAGTTCTGCTCACTTGTCTCTTTAGCAATCCATATCAATCTCCCCAGGTTTCTCCAAAACCAGCTTTTTGTTCATTTCTTAGAGTACAATAATATTCTATTATGTTAATATACCATAATTTGTTTAGCCGTTCCCCACTTGATGGACTGAAAGGATATGATAAATATTTTGTACCTGTCAGTCCTTTTCCTATTTCTTTGTTCTTTTGGGGTTGTAGGCTTAAGCAGTTGTATCATTGGGTAAAAGGACATGCAACAGTTTAGTGATTTTTTGGGCACAGCTCCAAATTGCTTTCCAAAATGGCTGGAACCAATCCACAGCTCCACCAACAGTGCATTAGGGTGCCTATTTTCCCACAGCCTCTCCAACAATTGTCATTTTCTGCAATATGGCAACTATGAGGTAGAACCTCAGAGTTGCTTTAATCTGCCTTTCTCTCATTCCAATCTCTCAGTCTATGTTCTGTTCAATATTTTGAGGTTCCTCCAGGCTCTAATATTCTGGGTTCTAGTCTCTTTCTAGTCTATCAACGTATGTTCTAAAGTTCCTTTTAGATTTAACGTTCTGTATCCTGAAATCTTTTTTGAGTTCTAACACTTTTGTGTTCTGAGATTCCTTCTAGTTCTGACATTCCATGTTCTAAGGTTCCTTCTAACCCTAATATTCTGTACTTTTATGATCTTTTCCATCTCTGCTCTTTTGCATCTCCTTGAGGGTAGCAACTATATCTTTTCACTCTTGTGTCCTTAGCCCTAGTAAATGTTTGTAAATGCTTTGTACGTGTTTGTGGCAACAAAGTGATTCTGTGTAGCGTCTGCAGAGCATTCCCCTTGGCCAGGGTAAATAGGGGCCTTTGCCCTGGGTCCAGTTCTTTTGTTCTTTTCTCCCAAACTGTAGGTGCTAGTGACTGGTCAGGGATGCAAGGAAACTGGAGATGCAACCACAGCCAGGAGTTGGTTGCCTACAATAGCAGATGGTCTTCCTAAAATAAAATTAAGGGCTTATATTAATAATTGGCTGCCCTCCCCTTACCCATTTTTAGCTGGGAAAATTGTGATAGATGGTCTATCCCTGTACTATTTATTTCACATACACATATCTCACATAGGCTGAAACTTTATGTCAATTTCAATTCAGTTGAATCAAATTCTGTAGATATTTGTAAGCACCTACTATGCACCATGTGAGGTACTGGGAATTGTTGTTCAGTCTTTTCAATCATGTTCGAGTGTTCATGATCCCATATGGGGTTTTCTTGGCAAAGATAGTAGAGTGGTTTGCCATTTCCTTCTCCAGTTCATTTTATATATGAGGAAACTGAAGCACAGAGAGTTAAGTGACTTGTCCAGGGTCACAAAGCTAGTAAGTACCTGAGGCCAGATTTGAACTCAGGTCTTCCTGACTCCAGTCCTGGTGCTCTATATCCTGAGCTACCTACCTGCCCTCACTGGGAATACTATAATAACTTTTTAAAAAAATCCACCCCTGCTCTCAAGGAGCTTACATTCTGTTGGACATGATTTTGTTGTGGAAGTGGGGGATGGTTGGAAGTAAAATGGGGTGGGAGTACACAGGGTTAATTGCCCTGGGTCCTCATGTACTAAGCACTCTGTACCAGTATTTATAACCATTGTCAGCACTGACAGTCAATTTTGTACTAATCTTTGAGAGAGAGAGAGAGAGAGAGAGAGAGAGAGAGAGAGAGAGAGAGAGAGAGAGAGAGAGAG